AAAAAAAAAAAAAAAACAAAAAACACAAAGAAGAAAGGCCGATAACGGCATCCACACGGTGGGTGTTGGGTGGCGTCTGACGGTCAAAGCAATTGCTTTTACGCACACTGCATTTATTATAGTGCAGATATTTTCATGGGTGAAGAAAAACCAGTGGATCCAAATCCAAACCCAAAACCGGATCCGAACCCGGCTCAGGAATCTCCATCCGCAGCTACGCCTTTGGAGTCGGAGAAAGAGGCCGCCATGGCACGAGCTCCTCCATCATTAGGCACAAATCCTTCATGGTTCACTCCTAAAAGGTACCCTGTTTTGTTTTGCACGCTTTAATTGTTTCTTAATTTGTTGTATGTTTTCTGTAGTTATTTGTGTGCAATTTGGTGGGTTTTTCGTGGTCGATTGTGGAAAATATGCTGGAGTGGGAAAGGTCGAGTCTTGCGTGTTTTATTTTGGTGGGTTTGTAAAAAAGGAAAAAAATTAGGGCTTTCTTGTTTTTTCTATAGAAAATACTATGGATAATTCAGATGACTGCGAATCTGTTGGATGGTTGGAAGGACCGGGAAATTGGAGGTTTTTATTTTTTATTTTTCATTTTACTGAGCTGAGGGTGGATTTGAATGCTGCATTGGGTTGTGTTGATTTGGAGGAAACGGAGCTGTTTCTGGGTTAAATTGTTTCATTTCTGGTAATATGCCTTGTGATTGATTTTTTTTTTCGCCATTGGTTGTTTTGTTTGCGATTATCGGCAGGTTGCTTGGAATCTTCTGTGTAATCAACTTAATAAATTACATAGATCGAGGAGCTATAGCAAGTAACGGTGTAAATGGGAGCCGCAGAACATGCTCCGCTAATAGTACTTGCTCGTCTGGTAGTGGAATTCAGTAAGTTCAATACATCAGTTATTACATTTGATACTTCACTTAATGCGACTCTCCTTTTATAAATTCTTAACTATTTCATAGTGTTTGTGTGTGAGATTTGGAAAGGAGAAAGGAAAGAAAAAAGGTGCAAATTTTCAAGAACGTGAGTCGATATGATATATTTAGGGTGACATGGGTTGGTACTGAATGTGAAATGAATTACATCCTTGTTTGGTTAAGAAATGAAGAGATATGGGAGAACAAAGTGGGGTGACGTTAAGATTTCTATTATAATATTTGCAGGGGTGATTTTAACCTGAATAACTTTGAGGATGGAGTAATATCATCTGCATTCATGGTCGGGCTCCTTGTGGCATCTCCAATATTTGCATCTTCGGCCAAGAGGTGATAGATTTTTCACGTTGCGACTCTTGTAAACTTATGATGTAGTTGATAACTGTCTTTTGTTGCGTGGATTATGCTAATAACTGCAGAAAAATTATGGAATATAAGTGCAGAAAATGGTGTTTATTTCATTACACTGAAAGCTGAATGCTTTGAGAAAAAAAAAATTAAAAATCAAGTAGTTGTTCAAGATTGACACGTAAGGTAAAATAAACATTTAGTTTGTGGTTTTTATTTAATGCACAACAATGCAAACCCTATGATATAACTGAGCAGTAAATTAGAATAACCATAACTTGTGTAATCAGAAATATTTAATGTTAAGTGCTTTGCTGTTGGCTCTTACATACAAATAACCGTTTGGGTGCCGGTCCTTTAAATATATCCTAGTTTCAAATTATGTTTTTAAATGTTCGTATCTTTCTTGTATTATCAAGGACATAAAGTGCTGATAAATTATGTCAATACAATTAATTAAAATACCCCTTTTACGAAATTGGAGCTTCACAATGCAAAGCGGAAAGGGAAAAATTGAAGTCAGAAATAATTTTTTTTATTCTGCTTTACTTGGTATATAATGCTTATTTTCTAAATTGTCCGACTTATTATTGCGTTGGATGAATATTGCAGTGTCAATCCTTTTAGACTAATTGGAGTTGGTTTGACGGTGTGGACCGTTGCTGTTGCATTTTGTGGATTTTCATTTAATTTTTGGTCCATTGCAATCGCCCGCATGTAAGTAAGAGTATCTAAATTAAACAAATTATATCTATAGTGTGTGTTTTTATGCTTTTTATTCTTTGAAAATTTCAGGCTAGTGGGTGTAGGGGAGGCTTCTTTTATTAGTCTGGCTGCTCCATTCATTGACGACAATGCACCCGTCACTCAGGTCTGATGTCTTTCCTAAAGAAAAAAATAAGGAGTAGCAAATATTTTTAACCAAGAAATTAGTACCTTCAGTGTCATTTAAGATGTGTTGGTTGTACCAAAGTTCCGAAAATATGTCCTCTCAATCTCATAGAATTTGGAGTTTGAATATGACACTTTGATATCTTCCTTTATTGTATTCAGTTACTTGACAATATCTAATATTTTCCCCCTATATTTAAAATTTTGCATGCAAAAGTGTGACATTTTTCCCTTATAACAGAGAACTGCATGGCTGGGAGCATTCTATATGTGTATACCGACTGGTATTGCTGTGGGGTATGTTTATGGCGGTTTGGTACGTTTTCAATCTTGAAAATCGATTACATTTTACCTATGAACTTAATTGCCTTCCATCTCACATGTTATCATCAGTGAAATCCTTCATTTTTTATTTATTTATTTATTTATTTATTTATTTTTCGGGCTTGTATTATATTATAGATGGGTCACTTTGGTTGGCGTTGGGCATTCTGGGTGGAGGCACTTTTGATGCTCCCTTTTGCGGTTTTAGGCTTTGTGATGAAACCATTGCAGTTGAAAGGTCAGTAATAAGTATAGTCAAACGGATATCATTTATTTTATCAATCAAACATTTGCCAATATGCCTATCTTATCCAGGTTTTGGCCCCATTGGATCTAGAAAAGCATTGGCAACGGTGGATGATGGCTCAGAAGATCAAGGTACCGAATGATTTTACATTAATCTAAACCATTATGAAGAACAATTTGTTCCAATCTTTTACGCCAAGTGATCTTCAAAATATTATCATGAATTCTACCAATATACTGGCATTGATATGTATGCATTTGATACCTGCCTTTGCCGTTTTTCGTTAAATTTCCATATCCAAGTTTAAGTCCTACAAAATTCAACCTCTTAATTTTTGTTTGGAGATTATTCACAAGGTCTTTAGTCTTTTGTTGTATCGTTCCTTCGTCTGTTTTGTGAAACTATATATATATATATATATATATATATATTTTTTTTT